CTTGGTGCAGATAATGTGCACCTTGGACAATTTCAGCAACATGTGTTGTTAAAGCATTCGCTTCAACCCTACCATGGCACTTAGCTCACCCGAGACTCAAGCTGAACTGAAATTGTAGGTGTAGAAGGATCTTAACCCTCATGTTAGTCTCAAAGCAAACGGTTGTGATCATTCAGAAAGAAGCAAGGCATAGCTCTCTCTTAGCCTTGAAGTGATACTCCAGGAAGTGAACTTGATCGGAATTTGCCTCAATTCTGCTACCCTCTCAAAACACTGATCTTGTGGTTTCATTTCCACCTTTACCAAATTGAGATGCACAAGTCAGGGTAACACGAGGCTATTCCACCCTGACAACCATTTTCTACAAATACAACCAGATTAATACAACTTTAGAACTTAACACTCTGACCAGCAAGCAAGGAAATTTTTGACATTTTTATAGGGGGAAAAAAGTGGGTAAGTAATGCAAACTGCTTTTAGTCTATGCATTTTTTTTAAAGGCAAATGGAGTGAGAAAGGACAATCTTTTTTTAAAAAAAAAAACCCCTCAAAAGATGCATTTTACATGTCTATCTTCCTAGATCACAATTTACATGTTTAAAAAATGGAGTTAGTTGCTTATTGTGTTTGTTTTGTTCTATAAATAATTCAGCAGGATTTATTTATTTTCAAGTCCCAGGTAAGGGAATTTGCAACAGGGCTGGAAGATTTTAATATTTTTCTACAGTAAATTCACTAAGTCTCAGCCTATCTTTGTTGTGATCCCCAGACTACATGTCATCAGCTTTAATCCTGACAAAGGAAAAACAGGAGATGAGGTAAGAAAAAGGGGTAAACAACCCATAGTAAATCTCAAAAGACTAACAATACATACAAGGTCTGTGCGTCCAGCCATGCACTATGAAAAATAAAGACATTTATTGAAGAAGATGCAAGATATAAAAAACATTGTACACAGGACAATGATACCTCAGTCCCCTTCAAAGTAGGTACCTTGGGACCTCACATAGTTCTCCCACACACTGTCAGCTGCCTCACCATATTTTCTGGAATCTCATTGATGGTCTGAAATCTCTTCCCTTTCAAAGGTAATTTTAGTTTTGGGAAAAGCCAGAAGTCACAGGGTGCCAAACCTGGGCTGTAGCGGGGCTGGGTTACTTGGGTAATTTGATGATTTGCCAAAAAACTACACAAGATGAGAAGCATAAATGGGCGCATTGTTGCAATGAAGCTGCTAATCACCAGCTGCCCATAGCTGCAGCCTTCTGATTCATCTGAGTAGTTTCTGTGAAGAAATGTTCGAGCTTAATGCAAAATTCAATGCAGATTCGTTGCTCTACTGGCTCAATCATTTTGAATGTGATAACCACACAGTACCGATCCTCACTTAACGGCATATACTGCCCCCACTGATTAGTACAGTGAAGTCATCATTGTTCACGCATGCACATTCCAGTCCACTCTCCTTGGCTGCCAGGTTACACAGATATCGCGCAAACCATTCTATGTTAATATATTAACATTGTTATATTAACAATGGCTGGACTTTTTCTAGACAGGCCTCATATAAGTATTGTTACACAGATATAGGTATACATATACATAATTGATATAAATCCACTTACCTGTAAGAATCTTAGGTTTGACCACGATGCATATTCAGTCGATACATGAAAATAAACTCTGATATACAATCCTATTTTCTTCCTAACCCTGCTATTTTGCAGGTGCTGGGGCCATGGACCCACTTTCCCTCTGTGCATAGGCAGGTGGACTTGTTGACCTAGTGCCTCTGGGAAGCATGATATTCTACCGGCTATTGTGAAGCAAAATCAGGAAATCAATTCTGTAGTTGACTTGTGATTAAAACTTGTCTCCAAGTGGTTGCCTTTTGCAATATATGTTTATTAACTGTCAGTTCACTTGTTTTACTCATGATTTTTGTTCTGCTAAAAATCAGAACTAAGCTTTCCTTGATTGAGACCCCAAAACAGTAGATTTATATCATCTTTTTCTCTGCACACTAGACCCTATTACAAAGGATTGGAGCTCCCCAGAAATTCTGGTGAGAGCAGTTTCCAGTGAGAATCAGGCCATGCATGTGCACAGCAAATCCAATGCACACGTACCATTTTCAGTCTGCTGCTCTGAGCATCATCACCCCAGACAACCGCGGCATCGCAGAACCCATCAAATATGTGCTCATGTGGACAGACGGGAAACCCATTAGGAAGTAGAGCCAACTCCATGTTCCCACATTTCCGGGAGAAACCACATTCAGTGCAGGAACAGTGCAGAAGCCCAAGGGTCAGTTCCTATAAATCACCTGAATGTTTGACCTCTTCTAAGATATCACACAAGCAAAGCCCATGTGGTTGAAGACTTTGCCCTACAAAAAAGGACATGTGCTAGGACTAGAATGACCCAAGTTCACCCTGTATTTTCTCTAAAGCTCCAATTTTTCTTGTCTGGAAAATTATTACAGAATACAACAAATAGCTAGTATAATGCAATTTATATGCCAAATACAATTACACCTGAGTAAAGTGGGGAAGTACAAATTTAAGGATTAAAAGCCGTTTTCTAAGGGATCGTCAGTTAGCCATATTTCTTGTAAGTTAACTGAGCACATTTTATTTTGGAGTGATAAGAGCCAGCAAAATATACCTAACTTCTTGACATTTTTGGGGAGGTTGGTTACTGATGATAGGATTCAGACCAGTGTAATAAAGGAGAGAAGTACTTTCCATCCCATCTCCCACCACCCTGAGTCCCCAGCATCCTGGTGGACCAGGGACCACACACCGCAGGAGGAGGGATAACCAGGAAGCATCCAGAAAAGTAGAGGGGTCTTCTTTGCTGAGTTTTCTTTTGTTTTGTATTTTAAGATCACTTTGGCTACTATCTTCTCACTGATGCTTGGAACCTTTTTGGTTTTCCACAAATTAAGATCATTTAGCTCTTTTCAAATTCCCTTTGAGGGTGAAATTATGGTAATTTCTAACTTAGATATATAACACAAAATTTGCTTCCCAACTGTCCGTGTGGGGATGTGTGCAAGCTGTAAACTCACCACATGTTGACCTAGTCCAAGACCTGGCTTTGGAAAGCATGTCAGATCTTCAAACAAAACCTGCATGTGTTTTCCCTCCATAGCACCCAAAGAAGCTCAGATCTTGGGCTGAACCACAACTTAATCAGCTCTGCCCTTTATTCTCATTATAATTTTTGTGAAATTTTCAAACTTAAGTATGTTTGCCAGTAGGCAGAGAGCTTATGCCAGTTATTTTTAGGAGTATGAAGAGCAATGGGAACAAAGATGCATGTCTAGAAGAGGTGAGAGAAGTAATGTTGGTGAATGTAAATGTATCAGGAGTAAATCTGGCTGGTTGGGGACCATTTGCAGGTACATGGAGAGTGAATCTACAGACTAACCCATGCTGCACCACTGAGAAGCTACTTGAAGAATTTCAAGAGTTGCCTACCTTTATAAAGGTTGTGGGCTGGCTGAATGTCTTCTGTGCTGGGTGGCTGCGCTGTTGGGAAGGTCACGCCCCAGCAGCACCGCCTGAAAAGTGAGGTCGTCCCTGGCAGGAGTGATAGGGGGTCTTCTCCCAGGGTCCGCAGCAGGCAAGGCCACTCCAGCAACTGGAGTTCAGACTTTATGCACAATAATGATATGTTTTGATCCAGAAGGGATTTAAACCCCTAAACTCCTTCTAGATGAAGATAGGCCCAGGAATCCCCAAAGGAGCTAATAGCCCCTTCTCTCACAGGACTGCTAAGGAATGTGTCATTTTACTAGGTAAGTTTTGAATTTTGTTTTCTACTATCCCACTTCCTTTTTTTCTTCATGGAATATACTGTGAATGCACTTCATTACTTGCATTTTCTTCTCGTATTCTGAAATATACTGAAGATAATCTCAATGTCCTAAAAAAATTAATAAATACAATGCTTTGTTTTTACCATCCTCATATAAGGGCTAAACTGCTTGACTTACGTTGTAGGGATGCTGCATCCACACATGCATACTGATCCCTCGTCCTCTTACCACTATCTCCGAACTACGCCCTGAACCTAAAGCCTTGTGAGCATGAGCAGGCTGGCCGATCATTTCCCAAACACTGTACTCATTCTCCCAACGGTGTCTATCTTTGCCTTTTATGTGTGTGCCCCCAACTCTGCCTCCACTTGGTTGTACTCTTTCTTCAAAGTCCCTTGTCTCCTTGGACTTTCTTGACCACATCTTCCCCTCAACTTCCTTTCACACACAGGACCACACTACACATGGGACACCCATGTTATCTGGGATTACTCGCTCTTCTGTATCAAGTTGAGGCATAATGGCCTACATAACACCAACTGCGTACAGTTCAACCTAATATATGCCTCTTCTCACCCCAAATACAAATTTCTTTGTATTTCTAGCGTATACAATAGTCCCTTGCACAGAGTAGGTGTTTGCCATTAAAAAGAAACAGGCCCCGACTAGTCTTAAATTGGCCAAATAGCAGATAAGCTTCCATTTGCATCTAAAAATGCATCCTAACCCATTAATACACTTACCACAGATGATATAGGGTGTTTATGATTCTCCCTGCCAAAATTTCCTACTCCAACCTAAAATTTAAATATAAAACTTTACAGCACCAGAAGTTGTGGCTAGAGGCATTGCTTTATAAGTACTATAGGGCCTTAATAGATTCTACACTTCAAAAATATTATTCAGAGAATTGCCATTAGTAAATTCTATATTCACTGGGATATATTTCATATTTATTACATGATTAATTACACAACTGAGTTAGAAAAGAGTATCACAATATTATACTTCATCTAATTATATTACATAGATTCTTCTGTCCTCTCTTACTGCAGCCTTAATTCTACATATATACTACATTATTTTTATAAGCCAGAACTCTAGATAAGAAAAAATCTAGTGAAAAAGTATGTATATTTTTAAATCTAAGAGACTTATAAGGTGTCTGACTGATACCCATTGATTCCCAAAATAAAAATATTCAAAATAGATAATGACTACTGAACTGAATTTAGTATTCTAAGGACAGAATACAATTGCAAGAGTAGAGAAACACAGAACTAGGAAACCTATTACTTTGCATGCATTCACATTTGATAAGCTCAGAATTATGTAAGGAAACAAATCAGTATTTCATCCCCTCCTTGCTCTGGTGCTGTGGACACATCGGAGAAATCCAGATTTCCACTTCTTAGAGCCACATTTTCCTCAGCTGAGGAGTCATATCTTCAGAACATACAAAAGACTTCATGGAGCCAGGTAAACATCAATGGGGAGGGAGGGGGTTGGAGAACGAGCTTCATACTAATTGATTTGGATTTGCCACCGGTCATTAATGAGGCCAAAACAAACTGTGTAACTTTGGCTCGTATTTCTTTTTCATCTCGAGTTTAACAAAGTTCTGAAGTAGTGTTGATGAATAGGGTCCATCTTAATGTCACAAAAATAGGAAAGAGTCAACTTTCTTCATTGACGGTAAGAATCTCACTTTTAACCATTAAGCACTGTCAGGACAGCCTTAGAGGACATTTTAAAAAGTGAGACTTTCTCTTCAAAGACCTTCTTCCTTGATGGTCCCCAAAACACAGTCACCTTCAGCTATCTTAATCTTGCTTATTCTTGGTAGAAAACTAGAATAGTCTTTCTGTGTGAAGTAAACAAACAAGTTAGAAATATATATGGGAGGAAATAATTTCCATAACAACGATAACAATAAAAATATCAAGCATTTTAATATTTAAAAGGTGACATAAAGTAACATTTGTTTAAGCAAAGATTATATTAGTTTTTGTCTTTAGTTACATTTAGGGCTGAGAGCGCCCCCTGCTGATCTGCTAAGGTAGGCCACCTCCAGGCACTGCAACGTCTCCAGGAAACACCTGAATTTGCCTCCCTTATCTTTTCCCCCCTCCCTTCGAGCCACGTGACTTTCAATTTTTAACTTCACCCCAAATCTTTAGTGCACATTCACACAAATATAAATTTTTAAAAAGTATTTTATTTATTTTAAAACACGTTAAGAGCTTCTGGTTGCTACAACTCTTCAATGAGTGAGAAATCCACCTTCAGTATCCTCAATATTTATGAAATCTCAAAGACAAGGGCCACGGAGAATATGCTTTGGCCCTGGTGAAATAAATGTGGGGCACCTCAATGGGCAGATCAGCTAAAAAAATTTTTTCTATGAGGTATTTGTCTTGATAGGGAGACCTCATGACAGGTAGTTAAAGGAACAAACTTTATTTGTTAAACAACACATACGGACTACCTGGGTTTGGACACAGCCTCCACCATTCACTAGCTATGAGAACTTTCTGTGTGTTTTCAGCTTCTTCAGCTATAAACTGAAGATGATAATAACACCTGGGTCATTATGAGGACTAAATGGATTATATATGGAAAGTAATCGTAACAGTGCCTAGCTCAGAATAAGCTCTATAGAAAGATTTGCTATAAGGCATATACTATTGTATGCCAACTATACTCTAATTTAAAAAATTATAAATAAATCATAAAAATGAACAACAAAAAAAGAAACACTTGCTAAAACAAGTTGGAATTCAATACAGTGAGACACCAGGCCCCCTTCCGACCTGCTGGCCCTGCCCCGAGCATGGAAGGGCTGCCTGGTTGGCCCTGCTGCTCATCTGAGCAGATAATTGAATCAGCATCGATGCTGATGGCAGCTGTGTTGTAGGCTGTGTTGCCTGTTGTTCTAGGACAGGGGCTGTCAAATTTAAACACGCATCGGACTAAATGGAAGTGTTTGCTAAACACAAATTGCTGGTCCCCAGGCCCAGAGTTTCTGATCCAGCAGGTTTGGGGCTTGAGAATTTTAATTTCTGATACATTCCCAAGGGATGCTGATGCTCCTGGTCTAGGGACCACACTTCGAGAACCACTGTTCTAGAGCAATGGTTCCAACCCTGGCTCTACATCAGACCACCTGGGAACTTTCCACTGCTCTGTTGCCCCAGCCAGCCATCGCTAGTTTTCGGGTATCTCCACGTGATTCCAATGTGCAGCCAAGGTTGAGAACTACAGCTCTACATCATTACTATGCTGCTGAAATGGGTGCATTTAAATGAGTAATGACCCCATGCATTTTATAGTTAAAGAAATTAAAGCTTGGTGCAGTGTTTCCCACTGAGGTGCTTGTGATACATTCTGATTCAGGGCCCCCATCCCAGATCTACCGCATCAATCTTTTGGGGCGAGGCCCAGGAATCTGCACTTTAATAAGTGCCTCAGGGACCCATACACACATTTAATAACTTAATTAATTTTTTTGCCTGAAGACACACAACCAATAGGGGTGGAGTTCTCATCTTGTGTCTCTGATCTATGCATCCAGAAATGTTATTATAAACAAGAAAAGGCTTTGCAGTTAATCTGTCTTAAAATTTTTCTGAGCTTATTCACTCAAGAAAGGACACTATATGCATATATATTTACACATACTTTCCCTATACACGGAGCATTTTTATATACACAACAGACCCAGTGACAGAAGTTGGACCAATAATAAATTCCATTCAAAAGCTAATAAGAGGTCAACCTGATTTCATTCACCTCTAAGATTTGAACCTAGAAAGGAAGAGTTAGCCAAGGCAGTTAAGGACACAGCTCTAGAGTCAGACTGTGTGCCCCCTTCCACCACGGGTCCCCGTGCAACCTGGGGCAAGTCATGTAACCTCTCTGTGCCCTGGCTTCCTCAACTAATTTGCAGAACAGGATGGGGGTGCACGCATCAATCCACAGAAAAGTGCGTAAACCCATAGAACGATGCCTGTCAATAAGGAGAGCCTAGTAATGCTTTTTATTATGATTTTTACTGTTATTGTTATCTGCACAGCAGACCTACATGCTCAAGAAAGTATTTTATAAACTTAAAAGTTGTTTTATACAGAGTGCACTGCAGAAAATCCATGAAACTAGAATATACAAACTAGAAACTATTTTCCAAAAAGTGCACAGGGTGTAGAAGGCAATCCTTAAAGAATTTTGTGTTCTTAAACATTTTTTATGTAAAAACTCAGAATAGCATTTCTCCTAGTCCTGCTGGGTGCTACAAAAAAAACCCCAACAAAACTCCAATGCCCTCCAGTTGGCCTAACCTACATGGAAGAGCTTCTAAAAGGAGAATTCTGGCTTATTATTAAAAGTAGAATAACCTTGGTTCCTTAAAGGGTGAAAAAGGGAAGACTGATCGACATTATAATGTATCAATTACATAATTTTACTCACAGACCTAGCTTTGTTGAATGTTGTATTTCTTACTTTTTCCTTTTTCCGGAACTTCAATCTGCTAAAGAGATTAGTAAAATGTCAGTCAGCACAGCCTGGAGAAGGAAGCACACAAACAATTTATTTAACTACACATATCCCCTCCTCCAATAATCCCCTTAGTGGTTACAAAAGCGGCCAGTCAGCAGGCAAACCTGCTTGTCATCGGCATATTCCCCCTTCATTTGCAAGTGTCTAAGTGGTATAGTAATTGAGGTGCCAAAACTTAAGTGAAGCTTAATGTTTAACCTTGGTGGTTGCCTATGGATATTGTAATTTAACTAAAAGGACTTCGCACAAAATAAAATGAACTTCTAAATCCTGAAGTAATCCATGGAACTCCAACCCATATGCTGAATCAAAGCCAAATAGGGCTTTGATTAATGAAAGGCACCATTAATCAAGGGAAGAATCAAAATGCAGTGCAAGGCACTTGAATCTACCTCTTGTACATAATTAAGGTAAACAACAGAACAGTCAGGGTTCCAGCAGAAAGCAGATGGCGCCCTCTTGGGGTGACTGAGGAGTTTTAAAAAGGACCTGTTTAACGAAGGTGTGGGCAGATTCAAGTAAATGAATGAAGGGATGCTGGAGACCCCCGGGACTAGGATGTGCATGTTGGGGAGGAGGGTGTTCTTCCCCCCTCTGGGCCTGAAGGGGCAAGGGGAGCAGCTGGTACCAGAAGCGGAGTAGCTACAGCTGCAGGAAGGAGAGGCCGCCCACTGGAGTGGAACCCTTGATGCAAGGCTGTAGCAACTGCAGTGACTCAGCGGGGCAGAGTGGGAGAAATAAATGCCCGAATCTTGCTTTTCTCCCACCCTCCAATCTCACTGGGTTTCCTCATTGGTGAGCATGGCCCAAGGCCGGAGGTCAGAGGGCAAGGTTGCAGCACACAAAGGTCAGTTTTCCAGGGTACACAGAGGGTGGACAAGAGTGGAGAATGAACCTGGAGGGGAAAAGATAGTGTCTGGTACAACCAGTAAACTTGACCTAGCCAGTGCTAGGGGGAAAGAGTTCTTAGACTCTTACAGGAAAAGAAGAGAATTACTATTAAACAATTATGTGCATGCCTCAGCTTATCATTCTGTAACTGTAAATGTCTCTTAACTTTCTCCTCCAATGAATAAGCTCCTTGACGTTGGAGCCTCAGTTTCTAGCCATTGCACGGCAAATAGAGGCATCATAAATGATAGAATGAGGGGTGAATTAAGTAAGTCGTTGGTTATTGCTTATTATTCATGAGATTATAGAGCAGGCCCTTTCCAAATAAGTGGGATAAATAACATGATACTGCAAAAGAGTAACTATGGTCAACTTCATTTTGTTATAAAATATATTGTTTTGAAGTATGTAAGGACTTCCTTTAGGTTAGTATTCTTAATCAGAAAGTTCATAAAATTTAGACTAATCTCAGCAATTTAAAAAAATCTGTTATTAAGCTTCAGTAATGAGAAATTAATGCTCTAATGTTTTATGTGTTTTACTATTATTATTATTATTTTACAATATTACATTATAGTTTGTAAGTAGTCTTGTGCAATGAAATACGAGTTGGGGGAAAACAGAATCTTTCTCCAGTCTCATTCTCCTCCCCTCTGTGTCAAAATAAAATAGAATCCACTCCAAATGTTAATTGATTTCTGATATACTCTGTTTCCTTAACTTATTTCCATCAGGCTTTAAATATTCTCTGTGCTAGAAGGAATAAAGTTGGGGGGTCGGGGGAAGCTAACCCTTTTTCGTAACGCAGCATGCCTGCACTTTTTCCTTCATCAACAGAGAAGTGTCTGTTAATGATCTAACCACCAACTCCAGCACCGTCATCTCCCCGGCTCTCTAAAACTCTGTCCCCCTGCCTTGCACAGGCCATTCTCCTGACGGCTGTAACACATCTGTACTTCTGCTTCCTGAACTGGGCGAGCTATTCCAAGGCTGACAATGGCTGGGTCATCAGACAGCACTGCCCTTGGTGTGTTTCCTCCTTACCACATAACAGGAACACACTGTGGCCCTTCCCATGGTCTGAGCCTACCCAGCATGAAAGAGAAGTGGAGAGAAAAATAATATATATGGTGATGAAATATGGGAAGCAGGTAAGAAGTAGGAGGCAAGCAGGAAGCACAAGGCCATATCTTGGCCCCTTTGTGTTGGTGGCTGCATTTCTCTAGTTCGCAAACTGTCCGTCTGAATAAAGTCTGTCCTCTTTCTGCACCCCAGGTTGGGAGTTCCTACTGGCATTAGACTGATGGCAGCGACATTTTGTTGACAGTAATAACACACGAATTTATTTGGAGAGACAACAACACACCCTGCAAAAAGACTACAGTAACCAGCTCCCTTGCAGCAGGGCACGGGCCTGTGGTGTGGCCAACTCTTGGCTAATGAGCTGCCGCAGAAATTTTCGTGGGATTTCTGAGACAGTGCTTAAAGAAAACAGATGGGCGCCCTGGTTTGTGTGACTTGGTGGATTGGGTGCTGGCCTGAGAACCGAAAGGTCACCAGTTCGATTCCCAGTCAGGACACATGCCTGAGTCGTGGGCTGGGTCCCCAGTTAGGAGTGTGCGAGAAGCAGCCGATCTCCTATACATCAATGATTCTCTCCCTCTCTTCCCCTCTCTAAAAATACTTAAATAAAATCTAAAAAAAAAAAGAGGGGATGGGCCCTTCTTCATACTTTCCTCAGACTTGTTGCCTAGAATACAGATGTAATGACCGGAGCTTCAGCATGAGGTGAAAGCCACTGAAGACGGCCGCAGAAAGGTCTCTGGTGACAGCTGAGAGCCACTGTATCAACCCAAGACTGCTGACCTCTGAGCTTCTTTTAGGTGACAGAGAAACAAACTTTTCTTTTGCTGATGGCACTTAGGGGTTTTGTTTTGTAATACGTAGCCAAATCAACTCCTAATATACTTTATTTGAAAATAAAGTAATCTTTATAATTCGGTTCTAGCTAAAAGTTGCAAATATTAACAAAACTTACTTAGGCATTGGTGAAGGAGCATATTTTATTCCTTCTGGTTTGCAGTTAATATTGCCTTTAAGAATTTAATGTGACTTTTTTATTATTGACTGCTTACATTTTTGTTTAGTGCATTGGTTTAACTTCGAATTTTAATGATCTCGTCATTAACGTTTCAAATCTACCTTTGAAAGCATTGCCTAAAGCTAACTAAGCCAATTAACTTTAAGTTGGCACTAAATTTCTTCTTTTACTCCTTCCTTCTTACTCTGGTAAAACAGTGCTACTTAATCTGCTTTTAGGGACAATCTGCTTTATTTATGGGGCTCATTTGGTTAGTTTCCTCAATTTCTCTCTCCCTCCCCAGGTTCTTCATGATTATCAAAATCTTGGAATCTGTTCTGCCTTGCAAAATAAAGACCTCTATATCCTAGTCTATGCAAGCCTTCTAAACATGACATGCATCAGTTCAAACTTTATGTGGGAGTAAATGCCACAGCCATACATTTATATGGCTCCATTAAGCTACACAAAATGAATTGCTCTCATCAACTGTACTTTGAAGGGAGGCCCAGAATCCGTTGAAGTTCAAACAGCTGATCTGTCTTTTCTCTGCCAGGATCCCATTCTCTCCAGGGGTTTGTAGATGAAAGTCCAGATTGAAATGTGGACCATCCCTACAACATCCTGTTAAAAACCCAATTTTCAAGCGGAAGGCTCTTAACCTGTCTATTCAAGAACAAAAATAAGAAACAAAAAAAAAAGTCTGTGGAAATAAAATTTGTTGAGTATTTGGGTAAAGAAATATACATACTGACTGATACGCTGATGTGTGACCAGCCATAAGGATAAACTACAGATTTCAGTTTGTGTGCAGCTCTAAGGAATGTAGTCGTGGGGTTGCTTTTCTTGAAAACTTTAAATAGATACTTTCTCCTATTATTGAGCAAACTCTTTAGCTATTCATTGCACAAGTATTTCCTTGCATCAAGTAGCTTATATTTTATTCAACCACATTTGAGGGCACTTCTCCCTTTTAAATGGGACTTCTTCGGTTAATTACTTTTCTCTTTCTTCTGCTTTTTATATACATAATAATTGGCGCCTAAGGGGGTACATCCTGCCTAGGAGGTTAGATTTTATTACTCTTTTTAAAACAGCATCCTTGGTTCTTTTATTGCTTTGATTTGCTACTCAGCACATTTTGAATTGTTTCAGCACCAAAAGGCAGTGCATTTTTATTTTCCCTGGGAAAATATTTCAGTTCTGAATGAGAAATAAGGATAAAATGAAAATATTTTCTTAGAAAAAAAGCTGCAAAGTCAAGAAAGAGCAATATTAAACTAAAGATGTCATGGACTAAATTTAAATGAAAACGTTAGGGAACATTCCCAAATGTTTTCTGTTGTTTTTTAAAAAATAATGGTAATATTCTGTAAAAGAATTATGTTTATAAATGTCAACTAGGCATTAGTATTTGTAATCATAAAAAAATTATACCACACTGTGTCATTGGGGACATCCTTCCATCATGGTGGTAACAAAGCAAGTAGAAAAGGAACTCTACCTCAGTAACTCTTTTTACAGCCTGTTGCCAACCTTTTCAGTGAGTTACTAAGCCTTTTATTAAAGGAATGTAGACTAGAAAAACAAAGTTTAATTTTACATTGAGAAAAAATCCCAGGCTCAAGAGCTTATTTTACTCGATGGCCTCTCCTGACTGCTACAGACACTTTAATTTGGCACAGTGGAAGTATCACAAGGCTGAGGATTCTTTCTAGAGACAAAACTGTAGGGCTTGTTTGAGATTGTTGTTGCTGTTAAAGACCTTTTAAGACCCTGACTTTATAATGTTGCTTTTATGGTAAATCCAGATTCTTCCCTTTGGGGGAAGGCAGAAAGACAAAGACACAGTGTAGAGGCTTAGAGAATTCACAACAATCCAAGGATGATTCTTGTGGGCAAAATGGCTTGAATTCTAAAGACGGAGCTCCCAGGAGGCAGAGCAGCTCCGTGCTGGGTTCCTCGCTCCAGGCCAAGGGAGCTGATCAGGGTAGCTTAGTGTATGCAGATGGTGGGAACTTAACGTGTAAAATAGACACAGGTAAGAGCACTTACCATTTCTGGATTCTCTGCCGCGAGCTTTACCATCTTTTCTGAGATCATTTTTTTCAAGCAGCTACTCAGCAAAAAAGCCTAGGAAATCAAGAAATAAAGAAGTCTCTCAGCTAAAGAGAACTTTTTTCTCTTCCTTCCCTCCTCATACCACTAGGCAGATTTTGAGATCTGCCCTCCAACAGTATGAATTTAGATTTCTTTTTTAACTTCCATAAATTTGCATAAGATGTAATTACAAGTAATGAAAAATTTTCTCAATTATGTGGATATATTTGCAGTAAATTTTTAAAAGACAGGTGAAAATGGCCAGGATCTCATTTTTTTTCTATTACTTTGTAAGCCTCTCATATTTTACAAGCAATGAATTAATAAAAATTGCTTATTACTGTAATCACATGTGCTGATGATGGTCAATCTCGTAATTAACTGCATGTAAGACCTGGGCATAAATAGCAACCTGTCTGTTTAAAAGAATGTATTAATGCTTTATGGCTTTTACTGAAACTAAAAAAAAAAAAGAGGTTGTTTATCTTCACTTTTGAAATTTTCTGGTATCTTTAATCATTCATTTACAAAATTGACAGTTGTCCCCAATATCACCTGTGGCTTTACTGTTGGTTCATCCAAGACACACGTTATACATCTTGCAACAAAAACCTGAGGCTTCCTTGTACCAGGATCTTCATAGCTATTTGCCAAATGTAAGGTTCCCAATGATTTCCCCATTTGCTCCTTTCCCACTAATCCTTTTTCTCTCTTGTCCTGCTCTCAGTTCTGGGCTTGCTCGCTCTTCTTTGAGCCCTACCAACGGTTGAGGTAACTGAAGCTCAAAGGTTACAGGGACTTAGTATAAGTTTCTGCTCAAGAATGGTCCTTTTTTTTGGGGGGGGGGATGGGAGGGGCAGTGGTAATGGAAAGGAGAAAAGAGAAAGAAAACTCAGGTTGGGGTAGTAGCCCATGTTGAAAATTCTTGGAGGACAGTTCTTAGAAATAATTAGAGGGAGAGTGGGCTACCTAGAGAGAACAAGCTAAGTCGTGCAAGACTATAGCATGTGACAGGAATTCATTTAATTTTAAGGGGAGAGAAACGTGGGAAGAGGAAAGAAAGGCACTACCGCTAATAAGGAAAAGAGTCACACATGTTTTAACCTCCTGGTTTTGGTAAGGACTAGCTGTTTATACTTGCAGATATGCAACCTACATAAAACCCAGTTATGAAATAGTTCAAAAACACCTCCTGAGCTGCTGCAGCTAGGAAGGACGTTTAATGATGTCCCACAAGGTTCAGGCCTATTTCATATCACTATAAAATGTACATAGATATGTAGGTTAGGACTCTGCTATAAACAAGGTAAGGTTTATTGAGCATAAAGGGACTGAGCTTTTATTTAAAGGGCCTAGAAAAGATCTGGGCCCAAGCCCTCGTTTGTGCATAGTTGCAAGGCACACAGCCACATTTCGGCCTTTTGCAAAAGTAGTCTCTGAGTGCATCTTAATAAACCGACACTCGAAAGGAAATAAGGCCTTACTAGGAATCCTTTAAAAAAGTGTTTATTATACCTCTCTATAGTGATTTAAACTCCTTTGCTACAGACTAGATTAAAAGACCATAATAAAATTTAACTACTGCACTTAGCATTCTAGGGGAGGCAGGGCGGTTTCACTACCCAAATCTCTCTCTGTCTCTCCAAGTGACTGTAAATCTTGTCTCAGCAAACATCCTATCATTTTCCTAAGAATGTTTCACATCATGGAGTCATTCCAAGAGAGACCAAATGGACTGCAAAACCCAAAATAGTTACCATCTGGCCCTTTGAGGAAAGCTTCCTGACCCCTGGCTTCAGGCACTGTCAGTGGAGTCTTCTGTTATTGGGTAACTAAATTCATTTCTAACTGACATGAAGGCTGGGGTGGCCAAGAACACAAAACAAAACAGAGCATCACAGCCCAAAAAGAGAGAGCACACAGCATACTCTGGGAACTAGAAAGGGATAAGGCAACGTGCTGTGTCCACCCCAGCAAGCCAGAGAACACCCCAGCACAGGTTTTTATGCTCTTCCCTGAGAACCCACCTGCTTGGTGTAAATCACAAACCACTGCCAGTGGCTCTCCTCGCTATACTGAAATCTGAGCTCCAAATTCTGGTTGAGAGTTCGCTGGGGCCCATCCATATCCAGCAGAGTCCCCTGTAGAGGAAAAGATATTATTTGATATTCAATAGAAATTTAAGTAGCATGGGCTGCAAGACACGCAGGTGGCGAGAGAAGAGGCTTAGAGAGGCAAGCCAGGGCCAGATTTTGAAAGGTTGGTAGAAGGCACCCATGGTTTTTGCTACATAGCATCCATCAGTCTTTCTCCTAGTAGTGGGGTCTCATATCCCTTGGGAAAACCATCTCTCATCCGCTATGGCTATGTAGGTAGGACTTTCAGGGAATGCTGCCGTCCTAAAGGGTATCACGTGACCCAAAGTCAAACGAACTGAACAAATATTCCCTGTGTTCCTCATTTGATTCCACAGCAGAGAGGCCCAAGGAGGAGATCCTGATAAAGAATTCCTAGCAACCTTGAGCTCCTTTGTTCCTGGCTTTCCTAAGCCTCTGCTTCAGCCTTTCCTTTAAGTCCATATAAGGTTACCCCATATTCCTCCAATAAACCCCCTTTTTCACTAGAGCCACAGTGTTGGTTTCTATTGCTTGCCACTGAAGAACCCTAACTGTTATGGGCTTTATAAGCTAAGTTAGGAGTCTGGACTTTATCTTGAGAGCAACAGGCATTTATTAAAAGATTTAAAAGCTATATAACAATTCAATTTGACTTATATTTTAGATTTATATTTTTGTCCGACAGCATCGATGTAAAAACTGAACGGAAAAACAGCTTTTTTCTGACACTGAACAACAAATAATACAAAACTGTTAATTGAGGGAGGGAAAAAAACAAACAAGGTGAGCCCTACAATTCCCCAGCTTACTGCCTGGAGGAGCTTACAGGATGCAGCGCAAGGAGGGGGGACCCAAACGGAGCCCAGAGGTCATGCCGACTTGAGGAGAAAGAGCTAAACATTTGAAGAAGTCGAGGTTAGAATTTGTAGGGCAGAATACCAACGACAAGGGCTCTAGACAGAGAAAGAGCTCCAGAGATCTCCTTTCAAATCTTTAGCTGAATAATGAATGATCTGTGCATGAGAGGAGAGGAAAAGTACCACTGAAAAGCAGTAGGTTGAACAATTCCAGGAACTCACAAATTGAGCTGGAAATGGTTTGTGTTTCTATCAACCAGAGTAGAGAGACCATAATAAACAAAACACGGAGAGAGCTAATGAGTAAAGGACTAAGTAAGCCCTCAAGACTGCTCTTGGCCTACCTTAAGAAAGCTTAAAAGCAAGCCAATAAATAAATAAAACCAAACCCAAGTAACTCAATTGCATACCAGAACAAACTCTAATACTCTTTAAAGGAATACAATAAAATCCAGCATTCAACAATGCAAAATTCACAATGTTTGGCACACCACAAAAAGTTACCTGGTATGCAAAACTGGGGAAAAGTAGGCTGTGAAACAGGAGAAAAATCAATCAGTAGAAACAAACTCAGAAATGACAAAGGTGATGGAATCAGTAGACAACAGTACTAAAACAGTTACTTTAAATATACTCCACACGCTCAAGAATTTAGAGAAAAACATATCATAATCAGGAGAAAAATTAAGATATAAAAAAGACCCAAATGGCATTTCCAGAGATTAAAAATATAATAAAAGAAATAGGAATACATTGAATGGGGAAAACAACATGTTAGGCACTATAGAAGAAAAGATCGATAATCTTAAAAACAGAGCAACAGGAACTACTGACAATGAAACACAGAGAGAATGAAGACTGAACTGAAATCACAGTGAGATACCACTTTACATCCATTAGGGTGGCTATGATTTTAAAAATCAGATAATAATAAGTACTGTCAAGGATGTGGAGAAATCAGAACCTTCATGCTGGTGGGGATGTAAAATGGAGCAGACACTGGATAACAGTCTGAAATTTCCTCAAAACATAACCAAAGAGTTACTACTAGGGCAGAGTTACCAGCAATTCCACTCCTAGGTATAAACCCAAGAGAGATGAAAATATATCCACACAAGACTTGTACACACATGCTCATAGCACTAAATGATAACAAGCAAAAGTTAGAAATAACCCAAATCTTCATCAGTGGAAGAATGGATAAACCAAATTTGTTATATTTATACAGCAAAATATTATCTGACTATAAATAGGAATAAAGTTCTGATATGCACTGCAACAAGGATGAATCCTGGAAGCGTTATGTTAAGTGAAAGGAGCCAGTCACAAAAGACCATATATGATTCCATTAACATGAAATGTTCAGAATGGGCAAATCTAGAGACAGAAAATAAATTAATGATCGCTTAGGACTGGTGGGAATGGGGGGGAGGGGTACAGTGGTAAGAGGTAAAGGGTGTGGGGCTTCTTTTTAAGTAATAAAAATGTTTTGAAATTGATTGTGGTGATGGTTTCACAACTCTGTGAATATAAGAAATGCCATTAAAATGCTCACTTTATATGGATGAACTGTATGGTATGTGAATTATATCTCGATAAAACTATTACAAAGGAAGAGAATGCTTGTGTGGTATTGGTGGAGAAATAGAGACATAGATAAGTGGAACAGAACAGAACAGCCAGAAATAGACCTGCACAAATATGCCCAACTATTTTTGATAAAGGTACAAAAGCAATTCACTTGAGGAAAGAAAGCCTTTTCAACAAATGGTCCTGAAGCAATTATACTTACAGAAGCAAAAAAGGAACCTTGTTCTAACTTTAACACCCTATACAAAAATTAACTCAAAATAGATCATAGACTTAAATGTATAACCTATAACTATGAAACCTTGAGGAACAAACCCAGGGGGAGGAAAAACTTTAGGATCTAGAGTTTGGCAAAGAGTTCTTAGACTTAACACCAAAAAACACAAGCTATAAAAGAAAAAACTAATGAATTATACTTTGTAAAAATTAAAAACTTTTGCTTTGCAAAAGACCTGTTAAAAGGACAGAAAAAACTAGAGAGAAAGTGTTTGTAAACCACATATCCAACAAAGGAGTAGTACCTAGAATGCATTAAGTTTTCTCAAAAATCCAACAGTAAACAAACAATCCAATTATAAAATGGGCAAAAGATATGAAAAGATGCTACACAGTTGGCAAATAACCACCTGAAGAGATGTTCAACATCATTAGCCTTGAGGGAAATGCAAATTAAAACCACAATGAAAAATCATTACACGCTTATCAGATTGACTAAAATAAAAAATAGTGGCAATGCCAAATGTTGATGAGGATGCAGAGAAACTACATCGCTCATATATTGCTGGTGGGAATGAAAATTAGTACAGCCACTTTTGAGAACTAAACACTCAACTTCCATATGACCCAGCAATTGCACTCCTGGGCATTTACCCCAGAGAAATGAAGACTTGTGCTCAGACGAAAACCTGTACATGAATAGTTATAGGAGTTTCACTCATTATAATAGCTAAAAACTGAGAACAACAAATACTTTTCATTAGGAAAATGGCTAAACAAATTTTGGCCATTTCAAACCATGGAATACTACTCAACAATAAAGAGAAACAAACTATTGATATATACAACAACACAATTACACAATTCTTTGGATGAATTTCCAAAGAATTATGCTGAATTAAAAAAAAAAAAAAGCCAATCCCAAAAGGCTACATACTATACTATACTATATTATAGAACTCCATTCGTGTAACATTCATTTCTTAATTTTTTTTTAATTTATTGATTTTAAAGAGAGAGCAGGATGAAGAGAGGAGGAGAAAGAGAGAAACATCAATTTGTTTTTCAGTTAACTATGCATTAATTGGTTGCTTCCTATATGTGTCTTGACTGGGGATCAAACCTGCAACCGTGGTTTATTGGGACAACTCTAACCAACTGAGCTGCCTGGCCAGCAAACATCCTTTTTATAAAAGAGATAATCAATTTGTAGCTTTTATATATATATTTTTACCTCCTAAGAAGAGTGAATTCTTATTATTCACAGTAGTCATGTTCTATAAAAGTCACCATTAACACTGTTACCGAATACTGAATCATAGCCCAAGGGGAGAAACAGGTTTAAGTTCCTGTGAACCCATGATCACATTTTCACCAACTGATCAATATGTAACCTCACACTATGTATATTTCTTTTTTAAAAAAAGTCTTATTGATGTATAATATACAAAAAACGGCACACAATTAATGTATACAATTTGACGAGTTTGGACACATGCATACATCCACGAAACCTTCACCAGAATCGAGGTGGAAAATATATCCATCACCTCCAAACATTTTATATAATATTCTTGAAATGACACCAGGGAAATGGCAAACAGATTAGTGGTTACAAGGGCTAAAGGAGGAGTGGGGATGGGAGAAAGTAGCTGTAATTGTAAAAGGCCAACATGTGGGGTCCTCGTGATGAAAATGTATTGATACCAATATCTTGGTGGTGACATTGTACTATAATTTTGCAAGATAAAATAATTGAGAAGAGTGGTTAAAGAGTACACAGAATCTCTGCACCATTTTTTTACAACTGCACGTGAATCTATAATTATATCCAAATTAAACATTTAACTACAAACAACTAAAGCAAAAATAATTATACTGTAGCATGAGCTTATATGTAGAAATGAAGTATGGCAACAAATATCACAAATGACAGAAAGGGTTTTTACACTTACCGTGAAGTGATATATTGAAAGTCGACTGTAATAAGATAAAGATGTATATAAAAAAACTCTTAAGTAACCATAAATACTTTTTAAATAAAGATATAGTTAATAAAAACCAATGGTGGAGATAACTGGAATCATAAAATAAGGCAGGAAAAAACTGATAAAATACAAAAGAAATAGACAAATCCACAATTATATTTGAAGACTTTAATACTCCTCTCAACTGACAGAACAAGTAAAGAGAACATGTATAAGGATATAGGAGATTTCAACACTATCAACCATGTGATGTAATTGACATCCATAAACTACTCCACCCTTGAGTGGCAGAATAAACATTCTTTTCAGGTGTGCAGGAAACATTTACCACAATAGACCATATTTTGGGCCACAAAGCAAGTTCCCATAAGTTTAAAGGACTGGAATCATATGATATTATTTTCTCTGACCCCCAAGGGGAAAAGAATGGGGCAGGGAGAAGGATTAGGAGGCTGATGTGTCCATTAAGGCAGGAAATGCTAAGACCAAGCTGTGAGGGTGGACAAAAAGGAAGAGTTTTGATGAGTAGCAAGGTCGTAAAATGGATAGGTCTCCACCAGCAATTAAACATGTAAGGTAAGAGAGAGAGAAGAGTTGGAGGTAATTTCAACATTACCGGTTTGGCGGTTAGGGGGTGGCGGTGGAAGTCCCATTTACCAAGATAGGGAGCACGGGAGAAAGAACCCTAGTGTGGGCATGAGAGGGAAGAGTTGAGTTTGACCTGCTCGTAAGACACCTGGTAAAGATGTCCAGGGGGCAGAAGGAAACACTGGTCCCTCTGAGAGGGACCTGGGTAATTGATTTCAGAGGATGTGTGGCGGAAATGTGCTAGAAACAGAACCGGAAAAAACGCCAGCATTTTTGAAGTGACCAAAGGGAGAAGTGGCCCACAGGAATGGAGGAGGGAAAGTACGACATCAAGTACCAAGCCGGATCAGAAATGCCCTTGGCTTCGGTGGACTTAACAACCAGATGTGATGGTTGCTCTACTAGAATGTGTCCTCTAGTAGTTAACCTCAGTTTCCTGTGTAAAGGGGATAATCCCACTTAATTCACTGAGTTATTGTAAGAATGTAAATAATAGATGTGGCAATGCCCCGCATAGTGCCTGGTACAAAGCAGGCACTCAGCAAATGTGATCATAAGGGTTTCTCTTGGGAGGGGACGGTGATGTAGGTGTTACGCCAAGGGAGCATTAAGTACAGCTTACTGCTCAGCATCCAGTTTCCAAGGGTAGAGATCTTGCCAGAACTAAGTACACATTAAGTGCTCTCTACATGATAGCTGTTATTTCTACATGCTGTTATTACTGTAGCCACCCTTCCAGCAGCAGAGAAGCCTGTTATTGGAAGGTGGGAAAATGGGTATCTCTACAGCTATGAATGGGAAACTTGTACCAGACGATAAATACGTTTTGCCACTGGCTGGTGCTTACTGTGGTTTTGCCGTTTGTTCACTCAAGGTACTGATTCAAATGGCAGACCTGTCTCTCCCGTCAACTCCGTCATCCAAAAACAACAGGATTTTAAATCGTGAGTGGAAACTTTAAATCACGGGCAAGGCAGCGCCGAGATACTCACAAGGAAAGTGACCTGCCAGCACTTCACTCTGCTCATCTGGAAGATGATGTCCTGGGTCTGGCTGTCGGGCAGGGTGACGCAGCAGCTGATCTCGTTATTGCCGACAGAAAGAACGGCCCCACAGCCTGGTTCCGGGTAGTCACAGGTACAGGGATCCAGCTGCAGGTATCCATAGTGCCGGACCTCGCGGGACAGCTCCAGAAACTGCTCCAAAGGGAGGTGCAGGGAGGTAGGAGACAAAAGACCACTTGAAACAGAGAAAATGGCCTTTCTAGCAGAACACGGGGAACTGAGAGACAGTGGGAGTGCCTTTTTCTCCTGGACACCGCGAAGGAGGGCACTGCTCCTCACGCTCTCTGACAGTGAGGCCTGGGGAAGTTCATGGCGTGTTCCCAGGGCGGGGACCATTCCCGCCTCACTCACCATCGTGCCCCTGCTCTCCTCACAGTGCCTAGTACAGAGTGGGAATAAAAATATTCAGTGCGGGAATGATGAAGAAAAGAGTGAATCGTGTAAGAAGATATGATTCTATCGCAGGGAGTTATAAGGGCAAAGTAAGCAAAAGCTGTACATTTAAAATGCCATCTTTTAAGAAACTAAACAGACGTCTATGTAGGAGGAAAGTAGTTTGTTTTTACAGGCCGCTTTCTGTAATGGTATAAATTGTCACAGAAAAAGATTTTGGAAATAGCCATGAAATGAGACCAAGAATGAGTCTGCTTTTTAAGCAGACTTTCCAGACAGCCCAAAAGTACCAAGGGAATACTTATGTGATGTTTAGGGTTTCACTTTTCCCTCTGCTTCTGACGTGACTTAAGAACAGAGGACAATTACAGGTCTCACCTGTGGTCCCGGCATCCTGTTCCATTAATGTCTGCTGAAGACTGTTTTTTTTTTAACAAAGTGATCATTAATGATTACATTTAAATAACCTGGTATCAGCCCGGTGACTCCCTCTCGTTGTTCTGCCAGCTTTTGCCGTGGCTTTGGCTGATGGTTTGTGAGATGTGTGAGCTCAGAGGGGGCTTCTCGCTTTAACACATGGTTAAATCAGAAAGACGGTCCCTCCCCGTACCCCACCCCCAATGACAACCTGGTTCTTTCCTGGTCCTTTCCTGAAGCCAGGTAGCGTATGACTCCCTTTTGCGCAGTCATTTCCTTTTCCATTTCCTTTGTTTTTTTCCAGCTCATCAAAAACAGTGGTTTTGAGAATTAGTTTCTACATCAACCTAAGCATAAACGAGTCCTCTAAATTCTGTTTGCATTTTGTTCAAAATCAATGCTTTAGTCATGAACAGTGGCAAAGCATAAAGATTTAAAAAGACAACAGAGCGAAGGAGAGGCCATTTCTTCTCTTAAAATACTTCCTGTCTGTCAGACTCATGTATACTGCTTGGGGACAGGGTTGTGTGAGTTGGTGCCATCTTTATGGAAGCTTTAAAAATGGATGTTTAAAAATACATCCTAAAGAATAACAGAACACGAACTCAAAAACAGAAAACATGGTTGCCGTGCCCAGGGACCTTGAGCCAGGAACCATACCAGGTCTTGGGAACACACAAGGTATGCATGAGTCAGACACAGCCCTGGGCCTCATGGTACTCCCTGCCAAAGTGATTTATAGCAGCAAAAGCTGGAAGCAAACTGACCTCCAACAATGGGAAATTGGTTTGCTAAATGATAGCCATTAGATGGAATACTCTGTGGCCATTAAAAATGTTGAGGGTCTATACTAATTAACTTGATAAAGGACTCACAATATATTGCCTGCATTTTTTTTTAAAGAATCTTTAAACATAAAGCCTCTATTAATTTTATAACCAGAAAAGTCAATGAAAAGTATTCTCATTTCTTAAGAGTCCCATTTTTAGTGCTTGGTGGGTTTTTAGGTTCTAGAAACTGCCCAATTCTGATATGTTTCTTTAACTCCCTCCCGGGGGATTTCTTCTGGTGCAACATGTGATTCACCTCCGTTTGGTTGTCTTCTCTCTGAAGAGCCTCTAATTTCTGCCTCTGTGCCTGTGTGGGCTTGGCCCATTCTTTCTGAATGTCCTGTAGTGCCTTCAAACAACATAAGTTATAAAATTAGCACACTTAGCAGAAACCCATTAATCTGAGCAAACATACTCAAGTATGAAAAACAGACCCAAGTAGACATCTGTAAGAACCCAGCATGTTATAAAAGTTACTTTTTAAGTTAGTGAGTGGAGAAAGAGATTGTTCAATGGTGTAGTGACAACTGACAGCACTTGAAAGAGAAAATAAAAATAAAGTTAGCTCTTTCCCCACATCACCCAATCAAATAAATCCAGATACATTAAAGATCCAAGTGTAAAAATCATAAAAGAACCAGAAGAAAATACAGGTGAATATTTTTATCTGACTTGAAGTAGAGAATATCTTTTTAAGATACAAAGTGTCACAATGAGGGAATATATAATACATGAAAATATAAAACTTCTATATATAAAAACCACCAAGAACAAAACAAACAAGTAAATGGAAAACCAGGGAAAAATAATTACATCATATGAGGCAAAGAGTTTATATTATTTATATAAAGCAATAGAAACAATGTAAACATTGGAAAGTGGGCAGATATGTATCAGCAATTGACAAAAATAAATTCCAAATGACATATATATATATTTAATCGCACTTGTAATCAAAGAATTTCTTCCCTCTCAACTTGGCAAAAACTAAAAAATATGTAATATTCATGGTTGACAAAGGTTTGGGGAAACAGGAAGTTCCACAGAGAATGGATGGGCTTTAATTTGGCAGCCTGTCCTGCTTTACTGTGCTTTAGAAGAGTTTCCCGTTGGTCCTTAGCTGGACTGTTAAAACCCTCAAGGGAAGACCCTGTGTCCTTCCCCTCAGTGTAACTCGTCCGATGTCACATATACAGGAAGCACACAGTCATTCTTTGCCAGTTATCCGGTGTTTGCTTACACCTTGGTCTGAATACAAGTCTACGTGTTGTGTCCCTCAGTGATATCGGCAGGGTGCCTTGTCTCTAAGAGGCGAATGAAAAGCCGACTAAATTTTTGATATTGCTGTTTAGATTGGGAGAAAAGGAGATGAGGTGAGAGAGAAGAAAAGTAATATTTGTTGAGACATTGTTTTAGAAAGGTTTCTCAATTACTTTTTCCAAACTATTCTGTGAGGTAGGAAAATTACCCCCATTTTACAGATGGGCAAGTTGAGGCCCAGAGACATTATGACTTTCAAGATGATCCAGCAACTATGTGGCCAGAGTTGGATTAAAACCCAGCTCCAACCACGTGCCATGCATTAACCAGCGGGAGCCGAGTAGTTGACGCTTTGTTTCGGCGGGGGCATGTGTGCCCCATTCCTCACCATTGCCCCATCTGCAGAGAGCTTAGGGTTTGTGTGACTGACGCTCATGAAAGCCATGAGACATCACGTGGCCCTCCCACCCTTGCCCAAGCCACTGAATTCTGTCCACATAGGCAGCTACCTACCCCAAGACTTCCTCCTTGTTTCCAACTGTTGTCAACACTGAACCTTGATGCTGTACAGCATGGAATCAGCACAGGCGAGAAGAACCAAACACCTTCTTCCCTGAATTCAGCTTGCTGTTAGAGCCCTGTACGGGCTGTGAGCACAGGGCAATGATATCAAAGAGAGAGCCTGGCTGAATCAAATGAAATAGTCAGTATTAACCGAGGACACGCCATTCATCATTAGGGGACTTGGGACAGAGATTTAAATGTCCTACAGAAGAGGTAACATAACTTTTTGTTTCACTACTGTTGTAAGTGTCTGACTCTGAGTATGAGTTCACGAGTCATCACTTGAATACATTATATACAGTACCTCACACCAGATGAGGAGGAAGTCGGTTTAGACAAATGTCTTTACTCAGTTATGTGGCTCCCCCAAAGATGGGCTGACGGAGACTTAGGCAAAACCTAATTTTTTAAACCAAGTGAAATCGCATGTCGTGGTTTTCATGATCTTCAATCACACATACACTAGTGCCCTCTGCAGAGGGTGCAGTCGTGAGACATGGAGCACATGTGCCTTTTGAAACAAGGCGTCAGCTGCTTGGCTCCAGCTGGTCAAGGCAGAGCAGAGCAGAGCAAGGCCGGGTATGTGCGGTCAGCCTGGGCCCAGGACAAGGGCGCTGGGCCATGGCGGAACTGGGGGGCTTCTGGTCGTCACACTCCCCTCACCAAGCCGTGGGCCCTACCTGGAGGAACGGGCGCCTTTTTCTAATTTGCACAAAGTTATCATATGGGCCAGTGATGGCCCTGCTAAAATATAGGCCCAAAATTGACCAAACCTTCAATATTTTTGAGAAAATCCAGAAACTTACACTTCTATATGTAATCTTCTACTTTATTAATGGCACTCCATTTTTCTTTTTTTAAAGAAGAAAAGCAACACATTGTGGGAGCCCACTTGATCCTGGGACGCCCCTGGCACTGCTTTAGAAGGAGCAGAGCAGTTCATTACGATGGCGTTGTTACCTGTCAGAAGAGCTCATGCGCACTTTGCATTAACTTTTTAAAAGGATGATTGCTCCTCACCCATCCATACATCCTAGGCCCCTGGGACACAGTCTCTGCCCTTGGCCCCTCAGAGCTCCGTTAGGGAGATACCTACGTGAACCATATTTATGATGCTGGATGAGAAGTGCCATCACAGAGGTTTGAACAAAAATCATGGGAGCAGAGAGGAGGGAGGCATTTTCTTCTGGGAGGAGCCAGGGAAGGCTCCCCAAAGAAGGCGGTGGTTGCGGGTCGCACCCTCCCGCTGACCATGGGCCCCTGCCGACTTGTCGGTACCCCCACCTGGAGTCAGGGAATAACAGTGATGACGATGATGATGACTCAAGTTGTTATGACATCAACTCCAATTTTTTGAAGACTTTGCCAGGAAAAGAGCTAAGTTTGAAAGACAGTTTCTTAAACCTAAGGGGAAACTTAGAAACTGTTAGTTCAACCTCATCCCTAAATGGGGGGGGGACATTGCAATTTCAGTTCCAGAAAGATAGAGTGTCTGGTCTAAGGTCACACGGAGAGAAAGCTTCTGGCAGAGCAAGGGACAGAACGCGTTTTTGGAACTGCAAGTCACTGTGCTTTCCATGAAGCCCTCTTTTTTTCCAGCTCTAAGCAGAAGAAATGCCATCTATTGCTCTCTGGTTTGCCACTCCTTAATGAAGACACAGAGAAATCAGATTCTGGTGCTGGCAGTCCCTACCTCTCACCACAATGTATCCCTGGAAACCACGTCACAGAGACATGAACAACATTAGACTTAGCTGATGCATTCTCAACCAAGGATGTAACAACAAATGAACCAGATGCAAATAATAATGCATTACAATAGCAAGAATGAAATGGTGATGAGCCTCAGTAAACAGTGAAAATGATAGATTATGTGCCAACTCATATAACATGGGTATAAGGACACCAAACATGATTCTACATGGATCAAAGTATAATATGAAATGAACTCCAAACCATAGTCTAACCAAAAAAAAAAAAAATACAGTCGTGAATATTAAACATTTATTGGGTGATATTTTGATTTGCCTCCTGGGAATTTAGAAAAGATGGTTTTAATCTCTTCAAAAGTCACCTAAGGAGGGATGGGCATCAAAGTTGTAACTCTTCATCTGATATTCTGGCTGCTGGGATCTGTTGCGTCTGCTCAGTCATACACCCAAGTTCTTGGCCGTGCGCTAGAACAGCCAAGTGCTTGCATGGGCTGGGGGGTAGATGTATATAGAAATGATGTTCTATTCTGTCAAACTGATTCTCAGATACCAAGATTTTGTGTGACACTAAGAAAAAACACTGTCAAATTATGACACAGTGCCTAGCAACAGCCCTGTATCGTCCATGAACTTAGGTGCCAGCATTTTCTGGCTAATAACTACTTCCCATTATTCTGAGGCATTTAGTGACTTCTCCTGCCTTCAGCTGCACCGCTCAGCTGCTCTGGGCAGTCCATTTGCATATCCTCTTAGTATAAAACAGAGCAGTTTCCTCTCTCTGGGCACAAAAGGCACCTGGTTGTTGCTTTGCAAGAGAATATGAAACTGTGGTCATTTCTTCAAAAATGAATATTTGCTTTACTAATATAAAAGGGAACCCTGCCATTTGGTCTCTGCTTTTCAGTGTAAATAATAACTCCCATTCTCTGCAGAATGATAGTGTAAACTTTTCAAAGTCAATTTAAATGATATGTAAGATACCAGCAATACACACGATTCAACTAAGGAGAAAAATAATACAACAGCTTTGCATCGGTTAGCTATTGCTACATAACAAAACAGTCCAAAAATAAAGCATTGCTTAAAATAATACAGTTAAAGCAATGTAATTGCTTAAAACAAAAATAAAAAATGAAAGTTACCTTGAAGTATGTGCTGGGGCTCTTTTCCTCTTCTATGTTCTTTAATAAGCCAAAACATCAAAAGCCAACCCTCTACTTTTTTTTCCTATATCCAAAGTACTACAGTAGGCTCTATTGATGTTTCTTTGTCCCCTTGAAACACCCACTAAAGGTAATGACTGACCCTATATGTCTCCTTTCTCTTTCATTTCAGTTTATGAAAAGCTACAAAGTGTAGCAACTTAGAATCACACAATAAGTATTGTTAAATTCCCTTTCTATCTTCCGTATCCAAGCCTATTCAATCCCCTTCTTCTCACAAATGTGGGGGGTACCACCTGCCTTACAGAGTTATTATGAAGCTTATATGAAACAATGTATTTAAAGCAATTAGTACAACGTCAAGCCCACCACAGGGCTTAATGCTGACATCAGACAAGGTTCAGTTATAGCCCAGGGATACAGCAGTGAACCAACAAATACCTGATTTCATGGAGAACTCATTCTAGGAGGAAGAGAGACAGTAAACAAATATTTTAAAATACATAGATAAACATACACATATACGTGTGTGTGATGGTAGAAATGCTAAGAAAATAAAGCGAGTGTGGCAGGCCCTGGGGTTTAGTCTGAGTGAGATAGGAGGACCTGGGAGGGTGTGGACAGGGCAAGAACCCGACTGGCCATTCTGTCTGCTGTGCAAGAGCAGATGCTGGATATTCTCATGGAACTCCTTAAATGACGCTCCCGTACCTCCCTCCCAGCACTGTCAAACGGCCAGGCCTGCAATGGTGCTGACCTGGCAAAGCGAGCACGATGGGGGAGCTGGGGAAGCAGGAGGAAGAACTGAGGCGGGAACCCAGACGTGCGTGCGCAGGCGGCACCTGCTGACCCTCCCACGGCTCGGCAGAACCTCCAGCACGGGAGCTGGGGAAAGGAAACGAGATCAGGCTCTACATTTACTTTTCCAGCGGTTGAGCAGTAGGGACAGGCAGGACCAAGTACATAGGTTGCAGGGCCTAGTGCAAAATGAAAATGCAGGGTCCCTTGTTCAAAAATTAAGAATTTCAAAGTGTGACAGCAGAGCATGAAACAAGCATAAGACCCTGCTGAGCACAGGGCCCAGGGCGGCTTCCCAGGCCACGTGCCCATGACGCTGGTGCTGAGGCAGGAATGACACCCGCTGGCTCGGGGGAAAAGGAGATAATGCTAAAGCGAGGTTTAGGGACCGCGTGTGACGCTAAGTACCGGGGATAGCCTTTCTGGGCTCATCTAAATTAGGCTACATGATGGTGTCTCACTGGCAGATTCAGACAGTGCTTGTCAAAATGGAGGCAGAATATTTTTTTCTCTCAACGCTTCTATTTACTTATTTTGATTTTTTTTTTTACAGTAGTAAAATACGCACAGCATATTTCACTTTAACCAGTTGTAAGTGTAAAATCCGGTGGCACGGAAGAAAAGATTCACAATGTTTTCACTGTCGCCACTCTCTATGCTGAAAACTTTTTCACCATCCCTAGCAAAGATTCTGTACCCTTTAAGCAATAGCTCCTCTCCCCCCACCCCCAGCTCCTGGTAACTGCTGCTCTACTTTCTGTCTCTCCGAAGTTGCCTCTTCTAGGTATGGAGGTAGAATTAACTACTGCAATTTTTTTCTAATGCTTTACACCCAAATGGCCTATAATACAGGGTCCAGCACAAATAATGCCCCTTTTTTATTACAAAATCTTTTATTACAAAACCATAAGCACGTAAATCTGTAACATAACAATATCATACTCAAGCACACCGTATGACATTTTTGGTGAAATGTTCAAATTAAAACTATAAATTTTTACACCCATATTATTACCCTACCAACCCACTCAAGCAAGCCTTGCTTCTGCCCGTATGTGGCGTTCTGATGGGTCTTACTCTCACCTGCATGTAGATCAGATTTACAGCGGCTCTGCAGTCCATCAGCATGGAGTCGAGGGATGGGTCCATGTACCTGCGGGATTCAGGAGCGTTAATTCATGCGACACAGCTCACAGGCACACCTGGGAGAGACACCTGGGGTCTCTGAAGTAGCAGCTCTCTACGCTTTGAACCAAGGCCCCCTTTCTGACAAAGCCCTACCCTCTACTTGGCTAGTCTTCAATTTGTCCCTCCACCTCTTCTGTTCCCTGTTGTCTTTATGCTGTGAGCTCTTACCTGGCAGGCACTGACAGCAAAGGTGCAAACAAACACACCTTCAGGGGAAAGGTCCAGATTTCTGTTCACACGCAGCCCCGCTCTGAGCCACCAAGCCCTGCATGAGCTTCCCCTCCCACAAGACCCGGCACACGCTCTCACTTGCCGGTACCCGCACCTGCCTCACCCCCCATCCCCAGGCCACCCTCACCTCTTGCCTGAGCTGCTCTGGTAACCTCCTCACAGGACTTGCTGCCTCAGTCCGGTTCCCTCAATCTCACGCTCCACGTTCTAACAGGAGTGGTCTTCCTCAATGACCTTTCAGGCTCTCATAGGCCCAGCAGTTAGATCGTTTACCCAACTCCCTGCCAAGGCCCTTCATAGGCCACCTGCTTTCAAGGTTAGCAGAACCACCACACTCAGGTGTGTAGGGTGAACAGAGGATGGGATTGGCTTAGACTAGGAAAAGGATGAAAATATTAGTTGAAGATCAACTTCATTCTGGGGCGTGGGAAGAAGCCGCTGAAGCATTCCTACTCACATTCTATTTACTACTTCACTCATGCATCCCAGGGGCCCCTGTGTGGCAGAGAACAGCAACTGTTATGTCAGACTGGGGCTCTGAGAGGCCAGGGCAGGCACCCTCTGGTCTCATCACTGGAGAGATGCGCCAGGGGATTCAGGGGCAGAGGAAAATCCCTAAGATTTTCATTTTCCCTAGCAAAGATTCTGTACCCATTAAGCAATAACTCCTCCCCTCCCCCAGCCCCTGGTGACCTCTGTTCTACTTTCTGTCTCTCTGAATTTGCCTATTCTAGGTATGCCACTAGAATTAACTAGCACAATTGTTTTCCAGGGGTTTAAACCCACTCCCAGCAGGACGAGGCTGTACCTGCTGGGACTCCCGCAGCTCCTGGCAGTGGAGCTGGCCTCCCTGCCCCATCCCTGCCTTCATCCTGGAGGGCAGGACAGGCACCTGCAGGACCCCGCACCGGCTCCTGCTTCCAGTGACCTGATCCTTACTTTTAACAACTGACGTGAGACCTCCCTTCTTCCAGTTCCCATGAGCAGAGACACCCACCTGGATCTGAGATGTTGTCTTGTAAGTAGGCTTTTTTTTTTTCCATTACCACTTATCCCCACATGTAGGTAGACATTTTACCTTGCACTTATGATCTAGAATTTACCTAGTTATTGAAGGCATAGCAAAGCCCAATTTCCAATTCAAGCGTCAAGGTGAGGAACAGAATCTTCATCTCCTGTGATCTCATGCTCTCCAGAGAGCTCATGAGCAACAAGTCTAAGCCCCAGAGGTTTCTATTATTACTATTAGCATCATTATTATCCTCAAGATAACAATAACAAACAAGACCAAAATGTTCTGAGTATATGGGATCACTTTATTTAACCCTCACAATAAACCTATGACGTAGACTCTATTACAATTCCCATTTTCCAGATAGAGAAAATGAGTCTTAAAGAGCTTGAGTAACTTGGCTAAGGTTATTCAGCAACGTCCTGAGAGAGTTGGGACTTAGATTCATATACTCTGATCCCAGGAATAACTGTGCTCAGCCACTCACTGGGCTAAGCAACTTCCACAAGAACAGGTACTCTAGAAACCCTTCGATGGAGCTGCTAAGGGTTTCTCCTTTTCCTTTCTCAGGGTTCCATGCCACAGATTTTGACCGTTTCTCAGAATACCTCTGAATAACAGTAAATGAACTTGTAGCCTTGCTGGGAATATCCTTCCAAAATTCATAACCGCAGACCAGAGCTCTCACAGGGCATCACAAGGTCAAGATAACTACTATTCCTAGATTTTGAAATGCCTTCCTTTCAAGCTTCTGTGCTCAGACTGCAGAATAACTGAGCTGGGAAAGAGTGAATGAAAGACGCAGTCCAACACAGCCACGGTAATAAACACATGAACTACAGGTTACAGGTCATGTCTGGGGGTGGGTTCGGGGAGTGTCCTGCTTCTTGTTATTTTCTGTGTGCTTGCTCTCCACAGGGCCCTCCATTTCTGGGGGAAGTGGTAGTATTTTCTGCAAAGTACCCTGTGGATCTAGAAATATGGCTGGTCCTGGTATATACGCATTTATTGTTGAAATCCCTTTGGAATGTAAGCCTACTATTTCGAATGCACTGCAAGTTGGCTGAGCCCACCTTTTGCCTTCAGGGAATACCACAGTTCAACAGATGAATCAGAACTGCTTGTAATCGACAGATTTCTTCCATTAATACAGTCAGTAATCCATTCCAGAGCGAGCTCACACTCTGCAATTCCTCACCATTACCTGTTTCAGTCCCAACCTCAACAGCCCTTGTTTTTCAAGTCTCACCTTCATGGCTGCCTTCCTCACAACAATCTCTCGAGCATTACCTTGAGACCAGTGACAGTCTCCCTCAACACCGTACCCTTCAGGACAGGGCGTCTCATCATTGCCCGCTCTGCCTTCTCCCTCGCTCTCCCCTCTGTGCTTCCCAAGCTCCCCCATGGTCTCTCGCTAGTGTCAGGCTCTGAGCCGACGTGGTGAAAAGGACAGATTCGGGTCAGCGACGGTAATTCAGCCTCACATGCCTGCTGTCCCAGTGCTTACTCACCACTTCCTGAGTCCGACCTTGCAGTTTTCCACTTCAGAGCTTCGAAGACTCACATAAGGGAGTTCAAAGTCTGCCAATTTTTTCATGACTAGAGAAAGGGAAAAGGGAGTCTCACAGGCTGAAACAGCATGGATAGTTTACACCCAGTGGCTTTAAAATGAGAACAGAAAGCATTACTACTGGAAAGCATAAAATATGATACTGCTATTCTCTCACGTTGCTATGTAATGTTTAGCTTTCTAACATTTATTCAAAATACAAATAACGATTTATCTTCATAAAGCACCAGCACCTGGAGTGGGCAGGGTCTTACACTGCGATACAGCTGAAGAGGCTGAGGCCCGGAGAGGCCCGCCGCCTTTGCCGGCGCACCCCAGGCCCTCGCGGCCGAGCCAGCACGGCAGCCCCTTCACTTCCAATCTAAACCCCCTGCCCCACAGCTTCGTGAGGACATGTGTAAACTCTGCCGAGATCACTGGTAGCATTTCACAACTAAAAAATTTGCACTATCTAGAAATGCTCTGTAGAGAAAAGCAAAAGCTTATGGGAATTGGACGGTCATCTTTCACTATTTCATTCTAATTTTTTTAATCCTTACCTGAGGCTATATTTATTGATTTTAGAGAGAAAAGAAGGGATGAAGGGAGAGAGGGAGAGAGACACACACATCAATGTGAGAGAGAAACATCAGCTGGTTGCCTCCCGTATGCGCCCTGACCAGGGATTGGACCTGCAACCTAGGGACGTGCCCTGACTGGGAATAGAACCCACAAACTTTTGGTGCACAGAACTACATTCCGACCAGTTAAGCCACCCGGCCAGGGCTCATATATCTTCTGTAAGAATCTGAGGACTTATTTATATCATCTAAACTTTATAGCAAATATTCCTGAACAAGGAGAAAGGACAGTGCAATGAGATGTCCTGATGCCTGGAGCCTGGCCCTCCATTCACAAGCAGGTTCTGGTGCGGCTGGTGGTCGGCAGCCAGGGCGCCCGGGTGCAGGTGGGGCAGACCTCAGGCCTGGGACCAGGGCAGGCGCAAGAGGAGCGCAGGGCCTGGAAAGACCCGACTTCTCACTCCTGCCCATGCCGCTTCTCTGGAGCTACTTGCCCCCGCTCACCCTGACAACAGACGCAACCTCCCGTCCCCTGCCTTTTCACCTGGGGTGTAGGGGGACAGTCGTAGGGGCCATGCACTCGGGACTTCCCCTGGGGGGTGGCCAGCCCCTCAGTTGAGCCCCTGCCCACGTGGCATTCCTTTTGTTCTTACCGGAGAGGGTGCCCTCCTTGCAAAACCGAATGAGAAAGAGGCCAAAGTAGCCCAAGAGCTCCCGACACAATCCAATTTTGTGTGACACCACCTTGAACCAAAGACAAGAAAAAGGAGGGGGAGGGAGTTAGAAGGGTTCCCCACGGTTACTGCGATGTGCCCAATTTGCAACTGCCTGTAAACACAATAAAAAGTGCTTTAATGGGCTAGCAGACGTTACAAGAAATGTTTTCAGAATCTAAAATGGTACATACTTGTTTTAGAAAATTTAGAAATTAAAAAAAAATAGAGAGAAGGAAAAAAAATGTGTCCCATCACAATGAACATTAATTGGCCTCCGCTGAGGCTGGTTGTCCCATCTCTGAAGTGGTCATGTCTCCCACATCATTTTGGACTTTATTGTCCACCGGAGGGCAGCACTCATTCCACACGAACGTCTGTCCCCTGATGCTACCTCCCAGGAGGTTGAATTACCAGATACTGGGAGGAGGGATATTCCCCACTGCTTGGCTGTCATATAAAAGTCTATGAGCTGCGAGCCTTTGATACCCCAGGCCGGCTTCTCTCTGATGTCTCCTGTGATGTTTAAGCCTAATTTACATGGCATTTGCACACTGAAATCCTCAGAACTCAGGCACGAGCTGCCCTCGTTTCATATTCTTTTTTGACCTTCACATTAAAGGGTTTCATTTCAACACTGACGGGTGCGTTTTTACCAAGAGGTCACAAGGCTGTAACCTCAAATGTTCCCTTAGCAGGACCTCCCATGCCAGCCCAGACTCTCTCCATCACCACCCACCCACCCCAACCTCTGCCCCTTTAAACCTGGGCTCCTCAGTGATTTCTTTGCATGCCCCATCTGAACTCTCTAGATCATCTCTCACACCCAAGGATGTACCCTTACAGCACTGTGCGTGAGCCGACACGTTAACCACAGCTCCAAGTTCTCGTGGTGGAAGTTGTACAAATACCAGGCCCGAGGGGGACTTTCCTTGGTGGAGATCTGTCAATTACCTCATGAGGCAGTCTTTTGAGGTGGATGGTATGAATGCGTGTTCTCAGTGTAGCCTTGCAAGTAAAGAGCCCGGGAGCTTTTCACAACCTTCCCCCAACACTTACCCCCACTCTCCTTTCTCCTTTCTCCCTTGCTTCATTCCCCGCCCCTTGCAAAGAAAAACAAAAACAAACACAGGGTTCCACTGTGCGGGGTTGGAGGGGATGGAAGTGTGTGCTGGTTGGTAGCAGATTCTATCCTGTCCTAGAGTAAATATGACCCGTGTCCATTCAAACTAGATTTCTCTTCTCTGACTCCATCAATGAAAATAGCAAGCTTATGCGTCACAGCAGAGGAGTGAAAAAGGAGAATGGAGCAGCATTTGTACTTTACAACAACATAAATACAAGCACCTTCTTTCAAGGAGAGTAAGCATCTACAAAATGAGATAATAATATTTCCATCTCGGCAAACATTAACGATGCTCCCAAACACAAACACCAGCAATGAAACTACATTAGCACAAATGTATAAACAACAACAACAATAAAAAGATTTTCAGCTTATTGCTGGTCCTTAAAAAGCCAGCAAGACGGGGCGTGGGAGTCGGGAACAGCAGAGAGAGAGTGGCGGCAAGGCTGCTTGAGGAGATGCAGACCATGATTTTTAATTACAAAGTTTAAATTACATTTTCACGCAAGGGAGAGAATGTCCAGCCCCTGGAAGAGAATATACATTTCTGCCTGGCCAAGTGCTCACTATACCTGTGATGGAAACTCCACTCCTTTAAGGGTAGAACCTCCAGTGAAACTTACCTGATGCTAATAATGTCAGTGTCACAGGTGAGTTTCTCACAAGGGAATGCCATTGGAAGAAAGGAAGTCCATCTTCTGAGACTACAAATGTATCTTATTTAACTGACGCTATTAGTTACAAGGGGAACTGGGCAAAACAGACGGCATTGTGGAAGCCTCGCCTTACTGCGCAACTGCATACTTAACTCAGCACTACGTCTAACGGCAATAACAATTCCAATGATAATAAATAACCTTACCACCACTGTTGATGGAACATGAGCTGTTTCTGTAATTACTTAGACATTGTCTTGAAAGGTTAAGTCACTTACTCAAACTCACGCAGCTGTGACGTGACGGCACTGTCATTTGAATCCAGGACTTGTCCTAACCTCAGCACATAAGCGACTCCAGCTGCCCGCAGCAGCCAGCTGCAGCTGCAGGTATGTCTCGGCCAGCGAGCCCACTGTGCGCAAACTTGTCAGCACTGATGTCGTCAGGCAGGGCAGGTGCTCCAGGGCTCCACGCGCCCAAACATTTTCAAATTATCTTACATCCACAGCTGCACCTGAGTTACCTGCTTGGCCCCAGAGGCATGGACTTTATGGTCCCCACCCTCACTATTACCGTCCTCCTCCTCCCTCACTTACGTATCTGTCTCCCACTTTGTGGATCCCAGGGGGGCAACTGAAGGAACTGTGGTTTTGGGAGAAGAGGGGGTGGGGATGTGGTATAAATCCTCTCAAGCATAAAGCATTAAGGCCTTCGATGCATTTTAGAAAGATCATTCTGGAAATCTGTACAGAAGATTAGCAAGATGAAACAGGGAGACTCTTCTTCAGGCTGCTGTAGAAATCTAGCTGAGAATGATGAGGGCTCAGATTAGGGGTGTGGGGGTTGAGAGGAGAAGACAGGAGAAGGGGTGACTCGGGGAGAGATGTGGGGTACAGTGGCAGGAGGATGCAGGGGTGAAGGGAGAGGCGCCTGGGGTAACTTCTCAATGGGCGCGCTCAGCAGTGAGGTGGCCGCTGACACCAGGCACCAGGTCCACAATACAGGGGCCATGAAGAGGCTGGGGAGCGGGGAGCATGCAGGGACTTTAGCAGGAGGGAGTGTCCAAAATGATCATGCTCAGGCCAAGCCTCCATCTAGGGAAAGGGTGTTTCCTGTCTGGGAACACAACCTGCTCTCCTGAGGCCAGAAGGACACGCATGGGCTTAAGTCTCCAGGCTAGAAAGTCTCCACGGAGCGACCCCCGCCCCCACTGATACACTGTGTCAGGTAAAGGCGACTTGACGTGAGTGAGAGCTGGGAGCCCAACGGGAGCACTCCTGTTCATTTCAGGCTCCGAAGGCGGCAGAGACCGTGACCCCAGCACAAGAACTTTCTGTCCTTGGCAAGGTCCTAGAAACTTTCCCACTTCCTCCTGTTTATTATAACTTTTTATTCTCCTGTGTGTGTTCCTCTGGAGGATTAGAACTAAAAACTCCAAAGAAAGGGGCCTGGGAACTGTGTGTGGGTGTGAGAAGACGGTGTCCCCTCCGCAGCCCAGGGGCAGAGCTGGTCACAGCCACGTCTGAGGAGGGGTGGGTGCGCTTGGGGTCTCGCTCTGGGAGAACAGAGTTCAACCTGTGGGGCTGCTGGTTTCAGGGCCGTCCTGGGAGGGAGGAGGCACAACTCTTTCCACATTTGAGAAGTCTGCATCGCTCTCTCCCAGAACCTGTCGCAAGCCCCCCCAGGGGCGGCCCGTTTCGGGCTCATCGGGGCACCAGCCTCCTTCCTGCTCCCAACCATGGAGCACCCCGCAACAGAGCACTTGGCTCACTTCCAGGGCACATCCCTGGCTGAGTTTGGGGAAACTGAAAGCAGCCTTAGGAAGACCCTAAGGAATCTCTAGAAAGTTGATGCCTGCAGAGAAAGTAAAAGCAAAGAGGCCTGGTGAGCCCTGGCCAGGCAGCTCAGTTGGTTAGAGCATTGTCCCAATATACCAAGGTTGCAGGTTCGATCCCTGGTCAGGGCACATGCAAGCATCAACCAGTGAATGCAGAAATAAGTGGAACAACAAATCTACATTTCTCTCTCTCCTCCTCCCGCCCCTTCCTCTCTCTAAAAAATTAATCCAAAAAGAAAAAAAGGCCTTGGGGACTAGCTGTAGCTGAGACCCAGCCAGTCTCCCAGAAAATTCCCAGCATCTCTACCGATAAGTCATCCAGAGTGACATGACTGGCAGGCGGCTTCCGGAAGATAACTGTGTCCTAGTCCTTGCATTCAAACACTGCTTCCCGCATTCAGTTCTGGGGCTGGAGTTTAGATGTTTACCTCTAGGACTCTTTCAGCAGTGTCTGATGTTAGGATTTCAACCTGAATGCTCCTTCCATTGGGCAGAAATATGTCCAGAGAGGCTTTCTTGGTAACGATGCTAAACGTGTCCTGTGAGCAAAGGGAAAGCACAGTAAGCCCCCAGCAACCGCAGTGGGGTGCCTTATGGGGGCAACGGTCAGCAGTGCCCTCTCCCTGGGCCCTGAGGGTCTACAGTGCCCAGAAGAACACGAGGGCCCAAGAGTAGAGATTTGGGGAGTGGAGTTTTGGGGGACAAGGCGGAGATGGGGAGGGGTGTGGAGAGGATCCAAGGCAATGCAATGACAGGTAGCTTGAACAGTTACCAAATAAACAACAAGAGCATCCATTTTAGAAAAAACATCATCCACACGACCTTTAGTGGTTTCAGATTTTAACTCTCATTTTTAATATGTCCAAGCTTCCCTAAAAGTCCATCAAAGGCATTAATTTATGACTCTGCTGCCACAAAACCAGAAGTGTGCAGGCTCTGAGGCCCATACAGGGAAGCAAGTGGCGACCTGTGCGTGGGCGCCCAGACGAGGGCCTCCCCCAGCCGTCCCCCGACCCCGCGCAGCTCAGCGCATGCGCTCCTGCGTTCATGGGGGGGACGCGTGTGTGCTAGAGATGAGCGCAAAGTCAGGGACCTGTGAGGTTCGGGGACAGAATGCTCTCAAAAGAACCCTCAAGAGACACTGGAAGGCCATCAGAGTTTAGGGAAGTTCAAAGCTGAGACTGATTGGTGCTCAGTTTCCATAGACAGAGGGACCCCAGGAGACGGCATGGCAGGTGCCTGCCCAGGTGGGCCTCACAGGGCGCGGCTGCTGGGGCTGCGCGGTTTCTAGCACCTCACAAATGGGACCCCGTCAGTTCACAGAGCTGTCTCATCTCTGTGATTCAGGGCACAGACGGTCTCATCCTGTGTTCTATGACAGGATTAAGCCCTAATGCCCTCATATGCACTGCATGCAGTGAGTTCACGCTCTCCTCGGCATTTTGAATGGCCCTAGTTATGGGTCATCCCGCAGAGATCTGAGAAGCAAAAGAGAAAAACAAAACCATTGCGAAAATCCTACCAGAAGCAGCAAAAAGAGACACTGAGAAACGCCACTGGAGCATAGGCTTTTGCATAAAGTTATAAAGGTAAAATACTAAGAGACCTAAATCAGGTAAAAAGCTTTCAAATTATCAGGAAAAAAGGCCTCAGAGCAAAGCTCCAAATCATCGATACCCATGGGTGGTTTTTAAAAAGCACAAAAGCAAAAGCGGTAACGTACACACAAAAGAGATGAAAGAACCAAGGCCAATCACCCCTCTGTACTGACATGGAATGATTTGCAAGATGTAAGTTTTAAAATACAAGATTCAGACAGTGGGTAGGAGGATGTGCCTATTTGTAAAACAAAAATGATATGCATACATCTGAATATTGTGTACACACAGAAATGTGAAGAACACACGTTGAACTGTAAGCCACGGTTGTCTCTGAGGTCTGTGGTGGTTACTATTATCATAGACCTTTGTGTGCTATTTGAATGTTACCACCATCGCAAGAAACTTTTCAAAGAAAAGGGAAATATGTGTGCGTGTATTTTTTAAACCATCTAATATATGTGAAAATACAAATGACTGTACAATAAAAGGCTCTAGGGTCATTTCTCAGGTTGAGTGGACCAGCATGTATACCAACTCAGTTGAATGACTAAATAAACAGAATTTGCTTCCACTTTGTACAAATCTGATCAAGGTATTATTCTTCCCAAGCTAGGGAACTAGTTCAATAATATCATTGTACAGCTAAGCCTTTCAAAGTTCATCCATTGAGTCAAGAACATACCTTCAGGCATAAAAATGTTTCCATGTGTACAATTAGAACGAGTGATGTACTAAACAAATGTGCTTGGCAAAGTTCCAGCCTCTAGCGGACAAGTTGGAAGTGGTTCAGACCAAGTGAGTGGTTATATTTCATTCTGTTCAGATTGGATTTTCTCTGTGATTCACTTACAATACCGGGTTGGCAAAAGTAGGTTTACAGATGTGAATACACAAAACATGGTTTACTCTTGCATTATTATTTATTAATTATTGTATTATTTTCCACATGAACAACTGTAAATCTACTTTTGCTCCCTCCCCCGCGCCCGTACAGCTGGGAGCAGAGAACCTACAGGTAATGGAGGCATGACCATTGACGCTCCCCTGCTGGCTTCGCCACGGCACACGCGGACAGCTCAGCTACAGAAATTGGATTCTCTCACTGTCACAGGACCCTTAATGATGGAAGGTTCTCTCCTTCATGGCCAGTTTTGAGGTGTACAATGTTTAGGCCACAGGAAAAAGCTATCAGCTTTATTAAAATGAGCTAAAGGTCGTGACACACTTAATTTTCCATCGAGAATCTAAACCTCCAAAAGAACGAAATAGGAACCATCCTCCAATGTACTCCAAACGAACGTATTTTACCTGCGTCCAGGCTCTGCTGGGCTGATGCCGGAAACATACGTGTGGTTAATGAAGAGACATATTATGCAGCAAAATAATGACCTTAGTAAAGAAGAGCAAGCTTACCAGCTGTACCAGTTTTAAAAAATCAATGAAGACATCGCTTCTCAACATGTTTGGGTCCCCGGTTACTGAAAAACATGGACAGGAAGCCAGATTAGCATGGAGCTGGGCTGACATCCCCATTATACTGCTCTGACCATCAGGGAACCCCCAAGCCTTGCCACCTCCTTGAAAGCAGCGTAGCTTGTGACCTCTCAAATACATGAAAAGCTGCAAAGCTCGCTTCCTCCAGGCAGCCCTGACGACAGGCAAAGCTACCACACCAATCACAGGTCTCAAGTCATTCCTGCACACCCGAGTCGCTCAATATGCACCTTGCCAAAGAGGATGCACAAGTCACACTGAAGATATAGGTGAAGGCCTGGCCTGGGAACCGACCCCTTAAGCACTGTGATCATTTGTGAAAAGGCCAGTGATTAAAGGAGTATTTCTCTAAGATGGGAGAAAAGAAACCAAAACAGAATAAAAATTAAAAACTATTATGTTTTGATATTGAAAGAGCTTATTGAGCAGGTCTGAAAGAGGTGTATTCTCCACTATAAAAGACGAATGGGAAATAGATGACTTCTAGAATTTTCATTTACTACACTTAAGAAAAATATGCAGCCATGAGAAATAACAAAGTAAGTCTGTTATTGCTGACCTAGAATGATTTGTAAGAAATATATTTTAAGAGGAAAACAACAGCATAAAGAAGAAAAACCTTTTTTTCTTTTGCTCTGAAGGACATCAGGGGGCCAGTTGGTGAAGTTTGAATAAGGTCTCTAGATAACATTATTGTAACACTGTTAATTGCCTGATTTTGATAACTATTCTGTGGTTATAGAAGGGAATATCCTTGATCTTAGGAAATACACACAGAAGTATTTAAGGGTGATGTGGCTTGTGTGTGCAACACATGTGACTTAAAAATTATATGTAATATATATGAATATGTATACACACAAGCAGGAAAGTGAGTGAGAAGGATAAAACAACTGTAAAAGTTAACATTTGGGAAGTCTGGGTGAAGAGCATACAGAAATTTTGCATTACTTTTGCAACTTTTTTGTAAGTCAGAGAATATTTCAAGGTAAAAAGTTTTTAAAAATCAGATACGGAAAGATGTGTAGAATAAGCTCCAATTAGTGTTGAACAAACAGGGATGGACATATGTGCTGGTAGACGCGCAGAAGGTTTCGGAGGAACTCGCAAGCCGCCTGCAATAGTGTGCACTTCCAGAAGCCTGGGGTTCCAGGGTGGAAGGGAACGTACCTTTCATGGTATAAGGTTGACTCTTGAACAATGCAGGGGGCAGGCATGCTGTCCCCCATGCTGTTGAATACCACATGGGGGAGTATTTGACTCCCCCAAAACTTAACTACTAATAGCCTACTGCTGACCGGGAAGCCTTGCTGATAAGCCAGTCGATTAACATGCATTTTGTATGTTATATGTATTATATAGTGTATTCTTACAATAAAGTAAATTAGAGAAAAGTATTTTAAAAACCAAATACAAAGGCCATATATTGCATGATTCCACTGACCTGAAATGTCCTGAACAAGCATTGCTATAACGACAGGAATTAGTGTAGTGGGTGACAAGGGCTGGTAGCAGAGAGGACTAGGGAATGACTTATGACAGGTACGAGGTTTCTTTTTAGAGTGATAAGAAATGCTCTCAAATTAGATCATGGTGATAGTTGCACAATCTTGTAAATATATTAATAATCACTGAATTGTGCATTTTACGTAAGTGGATATTAGAGTGTGCAACCTACATCTCAATAATACATTAGTAAAAAAAAAAAAACCTACCATTTTGCAAATACTGTTCCAACTGGTCCCTTCTCTCATTAGCCATAGATGTGGTCATTGCGAGATAGTACTTTGGTGGAAAGGGTGGCAGGCAATTTCCAAAGACCCGTCTCAGCTGAAAGATCCAGAAAACACACATTTATGGCAAAGAACCTCCAATTCAAGGTTGGTGAGATACCAAAGATTCCTCTGAGGGTACATCTTGCTCCAGCACTTTATTTAAAATTAACCCTTCCTGGTGGCCAAAAGGAAGAAAGAGGGATACTTTGATTGGCTTAAGGAGGAATTTATTTCAGCATAGGTTTCTAGAGATACTATTAGACATATGACAGAATGACAACTCCAGTCTGAGTTTGGTAGATTTGGAGTACATTTTAATTTTTTCATTTGTTTTTACAAGGCTGCCTACCATTCACATCATACAATATTTCTTTAATTCATACCCCAATAGCATCTGTGATATTAATGACAATGGTTAGGAATTTAATTCCCCCACCCCACCCCACCCCACCTCAACCTCTACTTCCACCAATTCTGAAGATAACAGCAAATGTTTATAGCAGTGCTAATATAGTAGCTGGTAGCTACTAGTCATCTGTGGCTAACAAGCACTGCAAATGTGGCTAGTCCTTGTTGCAATGTGCTTATAAGTATAAAAACACAACTTAGGTTGTGAAGACTTAGCCTCTTAGAGAGAATGTAAGCCCTGGTCAGGTAGCTCAGTTGGTTGGAACGTCGTTCCAGACACCAAATGTTGCAGGTTCAATCCCTAGTCAGGGCACATACCTAGGTTGCAGGTTTGATCCCCAGTATGGGAGGCAACCAATCGATGTTTCTCTCTCACACTGATGTTTCTCTCTCTCTCTCTAACGTCAATAAATACATCCTTGGGTGAGGATTTTTAAAAAGTTAAAAAATAGTAAAGCGTCACACTAATAATTCTTATATTGATTACATGTTGAAATGATAATATTTTGAATATATTAGATTAAATAAAATATATTATTAAAATTAATGCCACCTGTTTCTTTCTATGCTTTTTTAATCAGGCTACCAGAAAATTTTAAATTCCCTATGTGGCTCACACTATATTTCTATTGGAAAGTGCTGGTTTATAGATTCCTATAAGGCTGACATATGATCTCACTAGAAATCTAGTCAGGCCCCTCCCTCCTACCCACCCACATATGACTGAAGACAATGATGTTTATGCAAAAATAATCTTTAAATAACCAAAAGGGTATGTGCCTTCATTCCAGCCCTACACTTAGCGTGGCAGCTTGATGATAAAGCACGGCATCATTCTCTTTAAAATAGGAAACCAGTCCAAAATCCAGTCAGGTCTGAACACGGCACATCCAGAGCAGAGGGCCAAAAGTCCTAACATTACCAGAGTCGATGGCTTAAAGGAATGAAACCAGGTCTAAGAGAAATGAGACGGCAACCAGGCAAGAATTGTCACTCCATGGCTTTTGTCACAAATACAGGGTGTATTTGGCCAACATTTGCCTTGCGTAGGTGCTAACCTCAAAATGCGTGGAGAGTCTGACCGCTTCTCCCCACCTCCACTGCTGTTGCCCTGGTCCATACACCTGTCGTCTTTTCTCCGATTACTGTGCCTTCCAAGAGATCTCTCTGTTTATACCATTGACTCCCTCCAGTCTATTCCCAATAGAGAACCTAAGATGATACTTCAATGTGTAAGTCAGATCATTGCACCGCCCTGCTTAAAACCCTTCCTGGTCTCCCACTCACTCAAGTAAAAGCAAAAAAATCCTAGAATGCCCTAGAACTGTGATATCTAATATGATGTCTATTAGCCACCTATGACTATTTAAATTTAAACTTAAATCAAAATGAAATAAAATTTCTCAGTTATACTAGCCAGATTTCAAATGCTCAATAACAACTCTAAATGTGGCAAGTACTTACTGAATTGGACAAAGCCGATCTAGAGCATTTCCGTCGGCACAGAAAATTCTATTGGACAGTGTTGGTCTAAAATCGACAAAGTTTTCAACTTTCTGATGTGCTTTATTTGGCCTGCTAGATTTTTGTTTGTTTGATTTTTAGAGAATTTGAATTTTATTCCAATAATAATTTTGTGGTTTAAAACTTTTCTAACTCATTTCCTGGAAGAAATACAGAATGGTATGGCCACTTTGGAACAGGTTGGCAATTTCTTACAAGGTAATGTTTACATCCAGTAATCACAGTTCTAGGTATATAGCCAATAGATTTGAAAACTATGTCCACAAAAACACACATGTGAATATTTATAGCTACTTTATTCATATCTACCTAAAACAGGAAGCAATGAAGATGTCCTTCAATATGTGAATGGATAAACAAACTGCGGTGTACCCATACAATGGAATATCCAGCAATAAAAAGAAATGAGCTACCAAGCCTTGAAAAGACATGGAGAAAACGTCAATGCAGATTGATAAGAGAAAGGAGACAGTCTGGAAAAGCTATATGCTGTTTGATTTCATTTATATGACATTTTTGAAAAAGGTAAAATTATAGAGATAATAAAGAAAAAACCAGTGGTGATCAGGAGCTTGGGGTAGGAGGGTGTTGAATTGGTGAAGCACATGGAATTTTTTAGGGCAGTGAAGCTATTTTGTATAATACTGTCGTTGTGGACACATACGCGATGCTATGCATTTGTCAAACCTATTACACTTTACAACACAACCTAAATGTACAAAAATATTTGAAAAATAGTTTAGGAGGAGAGGAAAAACCCAGGATGGAATGCAGAATGTAACAAAGGAATTTACCCATATTACAAATGTATGAAACATTGCAATGAAGAGAGAAAGGTACTGGCCTAAGCAACTTTGGAAATGAGTGGAGTCTGTACAACCTAAGGCAAAAGAAACTGTACAGAAGCACTGTACTCTAGCTGACAAAGTTCGCCATTTCTAACACTGCTATACTTGTGGATAGAATCAAACAATTAAGTAAAAGATGGCGGGTGATGGGAATCAGTTTTCTCACAGTTGCAGTGAGAATTTTCAGAAAAGTAAGGGGTGTAGGCTAGAATGATCCATGTGGTAATGGATTATAGTTGGAGATATTGCCATGAAATTATGTTAGTTTAATATAGACACAGACAGTTAAATATTAAACTATCTATAAATATGCTATAAATATGTGTGTGTATACAGGATACACACATATATTCTGTACTTTGTCAGCTGAGAGGGCCTAGAAATAACAGCACTGCCACAGCAAAAACACACCTAGTGCCCAGACTTTGGTTTCTAATATTGTTCTCCAGTAAAAGCTACCAGGGCTCCGTGGAGAAATGGCTGAGGTAGGAAATAATGAAAGATGAGTCGGAAGCATCTTGTAGCACCAGAAAATAAAATAGTGCTCAAAAAAGAAAAATCAACAATAGGGGTACACCAAAGAGACACAGGAGCAAACTGAAAGAGCTCCCACAGGACAAAGCTGAAACAGTTTGAGCAACAAAAATAAAGTCGTATTGAAGTATAACCCAAAGTATAAAGTAAATATCCAGGAGTACATACGAGTATAAATAAATTATTGAATAAATAAATATAGAGGAGAGAATAGACAAATCTCCTGTGAAGAATCCCAAATAATTTATGTAGACATGCATCCACAAGGAGACAAAGCATACCTCCCAACTCTTTAAGGGTGGACTACACATAGTGACTTCCAAAGAATACACTATGAAAAGAGAGAGAAAAAAATAACTTTACAGTGGCAAAACCTGACAATCACCATCTCAGGCAGGTGATCCAGGGCAACATCAACAGCGATAAGTCATGTTGATAGTACGTACCCTTGGTATGATGTGATTAGAATGGCCCCTGACCTCTGTGGTCTCCTTACCCAGCTTAGTCATGTGAAAACAGCAGGTTCCAATAGAGGGACTTTCCACAAAATACCTGACCGATACTCCTCAAAACAGTCAAAGTCCTTATAAACAATGAAAGTCTGAGAAACTGTCACAGTTAAGAGGAGCCTAAGAATACATGACAACTAAAGGCAATGTGGTGTCCTGGGTGGGATCCTCGGACAGAGGTAGGACATTATGTACACACTGAAGTCTGAATAAATTGTGGACTATAGTTACTAATATTGTAACAACACTGGTTCATTAAGTGAAACAAATACTCCATACTAATGGAATACACTAGGGAAAACTAGGTGCAGGGTATATAGGAACTTTGTACCATCTTTGCAATTTTTCTGTAAATCTAAAACTGGTCTAAGAAATTAAAGTCTATTTTCTAAAACACGGAGGTCTGGCTTGTCTTGAAACATCAGAAGGTCTGGAATCACTGGGCTCCCATGCTCTCAGGCAGCCACCCGCTTCAGAGCCCTAAGCCGCTGCCACCACTCCCATGGCCTCTCACCTGGTCCATGCTTCACATTTAAACTTCCTGCCTGACCCCTGTAGCCATTTAAGTTTGCAAACATTCTTCTAAATCTGTATAAAGATCTAGACTCTTTACACTAAATGGCTACATTATAACATTATAAAAATGTTATACTAAATCTATAGTATAAAATATTATTGCAACAGTTCTGCTTCTTTTAAATTCAAGGAAATTTTCCTGCCACGCCAGAGATTGTCCGAAGGTACATGTCACCGGCAGGGCAGCTCCAGCTCCGTAGGATTCATGCACCCCATCTCTGCTAACTCCTTTAAATAGAAGCAGAATCCTGTCTTCTTTGCATGCAATTATTTTTTTGATTAACTGATTAAATGATCTTTAAAAGGCAATTGTCGTCCTTGGCATGTGTTCATAAAAGTCACAGCTGCTCCCAAATTGGTTGAAATCACAGCAGCGTTGTGCAAGCAGGGCTGCCTGGGTTGTGCATTTGCAGGAGAGCATCTTGCAGAAGCCTCTACCCTAGGGCCAAGATCGGGGGAGAAAGTCAACAAGAATCCAGGTTCCAATGCCCATCACAGAGCAAAAACTCTCCCAGCAGGTTTTACCACCTGAGATGACTTCTCAAAGAGTCTTTCCCCTCCCTTCTCTAATGCTGCCGGAAGGAGAAAGATAAATATGCAATGAGCTGCAGGTAAGTCTGCCAAAAGTCACTCATCACCTACATAAGTCATGCAAC